TAATCGTTTGCATTATTCCGTGAAATTTTGAATCATGGGATGTTTTGTAAGGGCTTTTGTGGTGTGTGTTGGTTGGGAAGTGCATTGCTTGTTTCATTGTTTAGACGGTAGAATGGCTGAATGTAGTAAGATTAATTTTAAGTTTCTGTGAGATTTAGAACGAAAGGGGAAAAGAGTGTTAATTGACTGGTGTGTAAATGAAGATTTACTTAATAGTCATTATAAGTGTCCAGCTTGTAGGAAGAAAATGCGTATGGTCGAACGTCGTACTACAATACTGGCACTATGAATGATATTTTTTACTGTTATCTTTGTGAACTTACGTGGTAACACCGATATACAGTTTCTAGTTCAGATAATTTTAAGAAGTTTTTGGATGGCGGTGCAGGAAAGAAACATGTAAATGAGAAGAAAAGTTTAAGAAGTCAAAATTGGTTCGAAGGATCGAAAATCCCCTTCCTTACAACCGTTAGGTTCATCTATTATTGGTATCCGGAGATGACATCTATTGAATTTTGTGAACTGCATCTGAAGATGAACCACAATATAACTGTAGACTGAAACAGATACATGCATGAAGTGTGAACTTTATTTACTTAGTCTAACTTGAAAAATCGGCAGATGGGGCAGAATTATTGAAGTAGACAAAAGCCTTTTCAGTAGAAGAAAGAATAACGTTAGACGTGTTCTTCCGCTACAATGTGTTTTCGGCGGATTATGCAGACAATCCAATGAATGTTTCTTCTTAATCGCCGTTCCAGAACGATCGGCGAAAACTTTATTGAACATCAAAAAAGAAAACATCGCAGAAGGAAGCATTATTTATACTGATGGTTAGAAATCATACACATCGGATGAACTGCGAAATGTCGGTTTTCAACATTTTACTGTCAATCACAACTACAATTTTGTGGTACCTGAAAGTTAGTGTCATAGGCAAACCGTAGCATGGCTGTGGGGGCAGTGCTAAATGGCGTAATAAAAGTCCTACTGCTCAACAGCATTTCGATTACTATTTGTCAGAATTTATGTTCAGACGCTGACACAAAAAAACTGAAATATTCTCTGCTATGTTGAAAGACATAAAAAAAAAAATTTATATCTCCCATTTAATTTCAGTTATGTTTAGCCTTCTGTTTATAAATTATAACAGAAAAGTGTATTTACATGAAATTACCCTTTCATCTAAACTAAAGCAATAATCTTAGATAGTTATTTACTACGTTTCCTTTCTTGTGTTAGGGTTACCGTAATTATTTTTGGCAACAGTGGCATCAACAATAGTTTGGTGATTTTTTACAGCCTTTATAACAGAATAGTACCAATTTTTGTAGAGATGCGTGCCTGGATATTTGTCTTCGGAAAGGTGAAAACATTGGAGATGTAGTAATTGCTGTTGAAATAGATGAAAGTAAATTTGGGAAGGGGAGGTATAATAGAGGTAAATGAGTGGTGGGAAAGTGGTAGTTTGGTTGAATAGAACGAGGAATGGGATGGTGTTCTTCTGAAGTGGTTGAGGATAAAAGGAAAGAAAATTTATTGGATGTAATCGAACGAAATATTTTATCAGGTACAACTATTATATCTGACTGTTGAAAGTTCTATAATTCTTTCTGATCATGGATTCGTTCACCTTTTCATAAATCATGCACTGACGTTTAAAGATAAAGAAACAGGAGCTCCTATTAACAATATTGAAGGCATGTGGAGTGTGGTAAAAAGAGATTTTCGCAAAAAGTGTCATCAACAGTCGGGAACAATGCAGGATATTTTTTACTCTAATTTTTGTGAATTTATGTGGTGATGTCGATATACGGATTCAAGTTCAAATAATTTTAAGAAGTTTTTGGATGCTGTTAAGGAATTTTGTGTACCACAGACTGAAGACGAAGGTATTTCTAAATACCCTAATTTTTGTGAATTTATGTGGCGATGTCGATATACGGATTCAAATTCAGATACTTTTAAGAAGTTTTTGGATGTTGTTAAGGAATTTTGTGTATCACAGACTGATGACGAAGGAATTTCTAAATAGGGCAAGTGGATTGTAGTGCTTAAATGTATAACCTTTTTTTCCTTTTTTATGTTATTTTACTGTTTGGTTTAAAATGTAGTTTATTGAGATTATGTATTTCTTGTTTCTCTCGACTGTAGAAATGGGTGCTCCTTTTACTTTTTAAGTGAAATATATCGATGTGTACATGGACAAAGTGAAGGGAATGCGCAATGCAAGTTTGTGCAATTCTGGAATTTTTTTTCTTTTTAAGTGAAAATAGGTTGACGTGTACATGGATAAAGTTAAAAGAATGCGCAATGCCATTTTTATGCTATTCAGGGATTTTTTTAAAGTGAAAATAAGTCGATGTGTACATGGATAACGAGATTGCGCAACTGTTTGTTTTGTTATTATGGCTTTGTGTAGCGGCGATTTGGGGCGTAAAAATCACCGCTTTGCAAGCCAAAATAACGAGTCAAAGAATTACACAAAATCGGTATCCATGTATCTCCAAAAATCGCCAAGGGATACCCTAAACTATACTTTTACCGTAACTTTTAGCACAACATTCTTTCCAATTTTTGTACCAGCAATTTATTTTTTAGCCTATTTCACGAAAAAAAAACCCGGCTGATCTTTGGAATATGGTAACTGGTAGTTTGGCGACATTTTGGAGGTGATAAAGGTACTACCTAGGACTTGGTAATAATGTGAGCAGCACTCAGTTCCGATTACGCATTATTTGTGCGAGGGAATGAGAGATCATGACTATGTCATGTGATATTAATGGACGAATTCGGTTCTTTAATCAGAAAAGGGGGGGAATTGGAAAAATATCTGTGGCAGTATATATTTGTAAAGCTTCATTGTTGTGAATAGTGTTGAATCTTTTTGGATTGTATGGCGCTGTCTAATATATTTAAGATCCGGAAACAAGTGCACATACAAAGACATAGAGGGTACGTGGAGTGCTATAAACGCGCCATTCCGAGGCATTTGTGATAAAGAGAATTTTGCTTTTTATTTAGCGGAAGTGTGGAGGAAAAATTCACAGAAAATCGTTCAATAATTTATTGAATCAATAATAAAGTGCATCCACATGTAAGCAAGATTCTGAAGAAGATTATGTAAGTTAGTATTTTTAATTATTTGAGGATATTATTTTTATGCATTGTCTAATGTAAGTGGAAGTAAAGTAATTTGGTATTATTGGAAAATGGTTATTAGCAACGATTTAGTTTAAAGTAATTAGGAGTAGCTAATTTATTAATTTAATGTATGTGCTTATTATATTTTAAGTAGTGTTTTTTAATTAATTATATTTACTTAAATGATAGTTATCTGTGAATTATATGTTTGTAGATTTGGTATACGTTAGAGTGGAAGTAAACGTGCATGGAAATAATTAAATATTTACACTAAGTATTTGTAACCATTGTAATGTTTGCGTATGAATTAGTTGGTGACGTTGTAATATAATAGATAAGTAGAGGTAAAAGTTTTTGGATATTTTATTGATTTCATACGTGGAAATGTTCATACTTGGAAAGGTATACACTTTTTCGCGATCAGGTATTTCATATATGTTCTTTTACCGGTTTAAAGATTCAGAAAATTGTCATGCATTGTGTGAAATTTTTCTAATTTATGAGAAAAAAAGCAGTGTACATGGATATAGTGAAGAGTGTGCGCAATGCCATTTTGTGCAATTCTGGGATGTTTTTTAAGTAAAAAAAGTCGACGCGTACATGGTTAGTGATATTTTAATTAAATGATAGTTATTTGTGAATTTTGTTGTAGGAATTGGTATAGTTTAAGTTGAATAAACGTGCATGGAAATAATTTAATATTTGACAGTAAGTATTTGTAATGTTTGCGGTATGAATTCGTGGTGACGTTTATAATATATTCCCATAATTTAGAGGTAAAGTTTTCGGATTTTATTTTATTTATACATGGAAATGTTCATATTTGGAAGGGTATTACTTTTTGCGATCAGTAATTTCACATATGTTCTTTACCGGGTTTAAAGATTCAGAAAATTGTCATGCATTTTTGTGAAATTTTTCTAATTATAAGAAAAAGCAGTGTACAATAGCAAGGAGTTTGCATTGTGCACTTTTCCCAATTTTGCAGTGAATATTTGTCAGATTAAGCAGTTTTGTTAGATAAAATTTCTAGCATAAGTGTAATTCGGTAGTAGATTGTTGAAAAAGTGTTGAGTAAAATAAAAAGAAAAGAAACATGTCTTTACTTTGTGAAGACAAAATGGCGGCAGAAAAAAAAATATAGGGTTGCTGTAGCAGAACTGGTCGCCAAAAAATCGCCAAGTTACCATAATCTAAAGATCAACCAAAAAACCTCAATCAAATACGCATTAATCCACTTTATAAGACTTTTGTAAGGTTTTCAATCAACACTATAGCATTAGTGCTTTGGTTTTCAATAAGTTACAGGAAAATTTTCAAAAGAATAGAAAAATGGCATCACTATCTTCTTCCTACACTTCCTGTGCAAAGACCAGATTAATTTGATGTCTAAGTAACATCTTTTCTAATGACAACACTTAAGTGAACAACCTAAATGTCCCCAACAAAACTGCTTCTGTCTCGTGTATACACACCATCCCCACACAACATCACAGAAATAATAAAATAGCAAATAAAGAGCGCTAAATGTTATTTTCAAGCACACGAGTAATTAAGCTGATATTAACAGGAATGCCATCCTTTATTTTAGTGTATAGAGGTAGAGTAACACTACACAGATATATAAACTCATGCAATAAGAATTTTTTAAGGAATACCCAATAATAGTTTTAAATACCAATGCTTAATTAAACATTATAATAGCAAACATCCTCAAATACTTTTAGATAAACCACATAAATTTCCTGATTTAAAAACGATAGTACTGACAATATTTCAAAGCAAATAATACAATTTAAGGGAGGAGATTCAACTAAATTCATACTAAGATACTTAGTACAACAAAATATGCTCACCTTATACACTTTGCCAAAAGCACCATCTCCTAATTCGCCAATTACTTCCCAAAACTCTTCAGGATCTTCATTAAATCGTATATTATTGTAGATTTTCTTACGTTTATTCTCCGATCCGGATACATTACCAATGTTAAAAATTTTTCTAAAATTAATGAAAAATGACATTTTACGCACACCCTTTCACGAATAACAACATTCCAAGTATACCATACATCTAAGCATCCATGCGTATATATATCAAGAATCTGCGTGTGTAATTATGAAAAAGCGTCTTAAAAATGAAAACTACAATGTAATAATTATACATAAAATAAAGTATACGACTAAATACTTAAAATGTTCGAAAAGCTATGTCAGACATCACTATTATAATAATTTGAATAACAGTACATTTTCAGCAAGTTTTACAGCTGCCGGAAAGTGAATGAAACCTCTCTTATTCTTATTTTATCAGTCCAATCTTAATATACTTATATTAATTAACACAAGCTTTCACGAAAACTTTTGCTAAATTTTCATGCATTATAACAGCTGAGTTAAGAAAATAACTAAAATTCACAGCCGGTACAGTCAAAACAGTTTCACATCAAACTTCAAAACTCAACAGACTCAAACCCGCACAGGAAGGGAATTCATTGCTCGCAGGAGATCTTGACGAGGGGAAACAAGGGAAAATAGGAGGAGTTAGAGATTTTCAGGGTTGTGTGAGGATTCTGCTACATAATTAGATTAAAGACATCGCCACTGTGAAAGATTGGACCGGTGTGGGAGTGGTGATAGAACAGGGTGCCTGGGTCGAAGCCCTACTCCTGATCGAACAAGAAATTATGCTTTTCTTAATCATGTCAAAAGTAAACAGATAAATAATTTAAATCATAATGAATTCTGATACACGAATTGAGTTCAATAAGTTAGCCTAAACTTAATCCAAAAGGTATAGAATCATGAGAATTTGTACTAAACTGGATAAGTATTCACAAAAATGTGCTCGGTCCAAGCAAAGAATCTGGATATTCTTTGGTGCAAATTCGATAGACAGTTAAATCAAGCATCTGGTAAACCGTTGTCTCGTTGAAAAAAGTTCAATGAAATCGAGCTCCTGGGGTCAGACCACTATCCTAATATTGCAGTTTAATCTACTTTTCGAACATTGCGTACAGTGTGGGAATGGCATAAAAGTAGTTTTGAAGTTGCTAGCAGATATTGACAGTAAAGAGTTAGCAGCGATGGTAGGCATAACTTGTGAGGAAGTTGAGTGTAAATGAATAAGGTCGAAAATTGAAGAAGTGAAAAATGCGAGACAAGAAGATTCGATATAAGATTTCAAGAGTTTTTCAGGTTAAGTGAGTCGCCATCTAGTGAGAGCATAAAGAACTTCAGTGTAAAAATGCATCAAGGCTTAATTTTCGTTTTCTGCAAATTCAAGAGTTAACTTCACTGCTTCGAAGGCTATCCGTGCCGATTTTCGAATGCTTAATTCTTTCTGCGATACTGTTAATTTCTCGAATAATATTAAACACTTTAGGGTCTTGAAAGATTTGAAAAATATCGTCTACTTCTTTAACTGGGATCTTCTGCTGATTGAAGACGGAGCTGAACGGGATGTTTTGTTGAGCTTTATGAATTTCTATTCATTCATCATCCATATTGCCAGGATGTTGTTGTTTTGACGCTAATTTTCCGGCTCTTGACACTTTGGCCCGGAGCGCACATGACGGTGAGTGACGATGACAAGTGAAAGAAGGCTTGGTAGTGGGAAGAGAGGGTGACTGCAAGACGTCACAAGTGTGGAGAAGTAAACAGACGCAGCCGAAGACCATGAGGCGATGGCAGTGTGAAAATATGATATGTTCAGTTGTTCATGATAAGTGGGTGGTAAAATAAAGTGTTACACATAATACATTTCAGTTTATTAGGTTATAATAAATACATGAGATTATACAGCAAATATAAATACAGATAAATTACATACAAATAAATGTACATATATACAGCGACGTCTATGTACATATATACAGCGACGTTGCACTCGTGATATGGTTACGTCGGAAAATTTGAATCTCGGGTGAGGAAGGCCGCGAGTGGTCTAATGCGTGAGTCCTCTGCAAAAATGTGATATTCGAACAAAATCTGCTTTTCTTGCCTTTTCAAAAAACATTTTATTAGCCTTGTAAAGGAATTCTTCAACTCTTTCGATCTGTAAGTCCCTGTGAAGGGCTCATTGGATACATAGAAGTGCGCATTTGTTATAATTCTAAGTAGCTTGTTCTGCGTGACTTGTAATTTTTTCATGTCGCTCTGTGTGTAGGTAGCCCAGGTGGGAGAAGCGTAACAAAATATTGGTCTAATTATTGCCGTATATATATGTCTCTTTCTTCTTAGATCTAATTTGAAAGTTTTACCAATTAGTGGAAGGAGATTATTAATAGCATTTGAGGCTTTACATTTAATAGTATGGATATGATCTTTCCAGGTGAATCTATGGTTTGTAGCTTTTTTTACTAAAGGAACCTCCTCGTCAGAGATTTTAATTTTCTTGTCAATGGAGATTCTTGAGTGCTTTTTGCCAATGATAATCAGCTGTGACTTTTGGCCGTTAATTGCGATTTTCCACTTTATACACCATTCCTCAATGGCTGAAAATTTCTCTTGGAGTTTAACTAATGCATGCTCCTGGCTATGAGACTTCACGGCAAGAGCCGTGTCGTCAGCATAACATCCAAGGTATGTATTGAGATCTGTACCAGTGTTGGGGAAGTCCTAAATGTAGAATAGATATAAATTTGGGTCAAGAATAGATCCTTGTGCTACTCCTGCCTTAAGGTATTTTGCCTCGGAGTGTTCATTGCCAAAATTTACAAAGAACTTGCGGTTTCCTATGAAGGAGTTGATCAATAGAATCAAATCTCTGCTGAAGTCTAGTGTTGCTGAAGCTTGAGAATAAGCCCCTCGTGCCAGACGCGGTCGAAGGTTTTCGCCACGTCTAGCATGAGTAAGGCAACACTTTGATGTCTGAAAAGAGCAGATCCAATGAATTCGCAGAGACGCACTAGCTGTTTAGTCGTGGAGAGGCTTTTACGGAAGCCAAATTGTTCCGGTGGGAGTTTATCCACATAATGTTCGATTCTTTTGTAGATGACGCCTTCAAAGATTTTGCCTAGACCAGACAGCAGGCTGATCGGGCGATATCCTTCCGGTTTGGTGACATCCTTACCCGGCTTTAGCAGTAAGATGACTTTCGAGTTTTTCCATTTGTCAGGAAAATAGTTATTTTCCAGGCAGGCATTAAGAATGCTGAAGTATTTTGTAACAGTGTTGGCGACATTCGTTATTTCATCATAACCAGGGGATTTCCGGTTTTTTATTTTTCTGATAATGTTCCTGACCTCAGTAGGCGAAGTATATTCTATACGGTTTTGGCCCCGGGACCTTCCAACCAGTCTTTGATGAACTGCCGTGTATTATAAGAGAAGAGTGGATCACAGGTGTCTTGATTCGGTACGAACTGCTTTTCTAAATGTTCAGCCATGAGTGCGGCCTTTTCTTTGTATGTGAGTGCAATTCTGCTGTTGCTATAAATTGGTTTATTGCAGGGCGCTTGCGTCGAAGGTTTCTCGCAAAAGACCAGAAAGCATTTCCAGGTTCGTTAAAGCTCTCTATTTTATTGTTTCAAGCCTCGTCCCGATGTTTTCTAATATTGCTTCTAATTTTATTATTAAGTCTATTTAATTCTTTCTTGACCCCTGGGTCCCAAGAGTTATGCCACCTCTTTCTCAATCTGTTCCTCTGTTTGATCATATCTCTAATTTCTCTTTATAATCTGGTACTGTCCTTATCTGCTGGGATTTTCTTAGTAGCGGTGTTGTAGGCGCCTAGAATACTATTGTTTAAAATTTCAATGGCATTATCTATGTATTCCTTGGTCTTGAGAGAATTGATAATTGGAGGGTTCTCTAACAGCTGATTGTAATACTGTTACCAGTCGGTGACTCTTTTGAATTTGTTGTCATCGCATCTGTTAGTACCTAATATAGCTATTACAGGCACATGGTCAGAGGTTAATTCAACCTTAACGTCTAAATACATTGGAATGAAGATATTCGTGAGGACAATGTCTAAAATATCTCCTCTTCCAGGATTCTCCGGGAGGTAGGTATAGTCAGTTGGTGCATAAAAGTAAATGGGATAGTTATTTATGAATTCAAGGAGGATTTCACCATTGTTGTTGGTCTTTCGACAACCCCATTCTATATTCTACAAGTTCAGATCTCCAGGCAGGATAATGTGTTTATTACTCGGAAGAAGTTCTTCTAATTTGTCGATATCAAGTAGATTATTCGGAGGATTATAAAGTGCTATAAAATAAACAACACTGTAACATGGAAGTAAAACAGATGCCGTAAATGCTTCACAGCCATTATTGCGGTCTTCACTAATAAGGCAGGATTGCAGGGAGTTTTTCACATAAATCGCGACCCCCTATCTCTATGACTCAGTCTGTCACATTGGTAACACCTATAGTTTCGATAGGAACTTACGGGTCACCTCGGCAAAATAACAGATAGGCTTTTTCAGGTTTTAATGAGCTATTTGAACGGGTGGTTCGGACAGCATTCAGCAGATGTCTTTTAAAACATCTGGTGGAAATGCCATAGACGGCCTTAAAGCACAGTACAGTCTTCTTTTTGGTGCGTATTTCGTGTGAAACGTTTTAGTACAGGAAATTTTTTGGTCTTGAAGAATCTTTTTTTTGCTTTTAGGATATTTGGAAGTTTTAGACTAATTTTTTTATACTTTGGTTTCAAGGCTAGCCTTTTTCAGAAATTCTACTGCGTTTGCATAGTCCTCTTCTCTGGTAGTAATAAAATAAACTTTACTCGCTTTCATCTGTGTTTCATATTCACGCTTTAAGATTTGAGCGCTTAAAATTTTTTGAAGATCAAGCCAATCTAAGTCTTCCTACGTGATATATATTGGTGGAATTTTGTTAGCAATTTTTTTCATTCTTTCCTGCTTTAGCTATATCATTTTCTCTTCCGTTATTTAAGGGTTCGAAACGATTTGTTTTTTCTATTTCCTCTACTTCCGTAGGATTCAAACCTGGTTTGCAAGTTTTGTAGGGGAGTTTCCATTCTGCTTCCTTTTTATTTTTAGCTGCGTCTGCGATCATTTTCTTTTCAAGTTCTTTTCTAGCTTCACTGATGATTTTATAGAGTCTCTTGTGGTCTGCTCTGCTATTTAAATAATTTTGTTCAGTTTCTTCTCTGAAGCGCTATATATTCCTTTGTTCTTTCATTCGGCCATGAAAGCTATCTAGAATTTCATCGAAGATTGTCTCTGGTTTTTCTTCATTGAGTACGTTATTTTCTCCTTCTATTATTTCTTTAATTAAGTTAGGGAAAATGTTTTTATATTTTCCATTACTGTGTAAAGTTGCGCGCTTCCAACCTGCACGAAAAATGGTGACTGCTGAGAACTGTAAATAGACCAAAGTCTTGAGAGGGTTAATCCTTTTATTCACTTTAGAAGTACAAATGGCTCTGACGCTCACAACCGCGACCCGGCGGTAAATAAAAAAAACTAAAAGAGATAATAACAAGTGACTAATACGAGGCTCTCTAAACGAACTAACTCACTGCGTTTCTAAAATACCGCTGATAATTCACATCTCTGAATATACGTTGAAAGATTAACAATTGCCGAGGCAAGCACACAGGCCGAAACGCGTGGTTCTTCA